CCCCCCTTCTCCTTGAAACACCCCAGGACTCTGCTCTCTGGGTCGCCTCCTTCCTTGCCGGCAGCTTCCGCCTCCTCTGCAGGCGCCTCGTTTCCCTGGGCCTTGCTCCCTCCCTCCCATAGCGACCTTAAGCCAGGACCCCTTGCGGAGCTCGAAGGCTGCGTATGGGGTCTCCTCAGGGTTTCCACCTGCATCTCCGCTAGGTCTGCTCCCACCCGCCCCCACCACGAGTCCCTTACAGGGACCACCTCCCATCCCAGGTGCTCAGGCCCAAACCCTCACCCACAGCCGCTGTCTGCACTCCTGTCAGCTCTGCCTCGCAGGTCAGCCCACCTCCCTGCCCCTGAGCTCTGCCCCCCACCGGTCACTCGAGTTACCCAGTAGCCTTGTCCCTGGGTAACTCTCCTTAAAACCCATCAGACCACATCCCTCCACAGCGCAAACCCTGGATGGTCCCATCTCACCACTGTCTCAGCGCCGAGAGCGGCAGGTGTGGAGCGAGGCTCTGCCCGATGGGCTCCAAGGCCTCCGTCACTCAGGCCTGTCCTGGTTACTGTCCTCCTTTTGGGTCCTGTCTCCCATCCTGTCCGGACCCCTGGCTCCTCTGCGGCTGGCTGGCTGGCCTGTGGACTCCAAAGCCCCCGCTCACCTCTGACTGGCCTCCTGCTCCAAAGCTTTCCAAAGCCCTGCCCCCACCAAGTCCACCCCCTCCAACAGCTCAGGCTCAGCCCCTCCCCCAGGAGGGCAGGATGGGGGTGCCAACCAGCCTGCCTCCTAAGTCCATGAACCCAACTGGACATTTTATCACCATCACACGTGATCCTAAATCCCAGTCCAGGGAGCATCTCATCAGCAGCAGCTTAATCACCGGCGTCTGGTCTGTGAGACGCCCTTGAGCCCCGGGCTGCCTGTCTCCCCTTCCCAGCCAAGCCCAGGTGCAAACGGAGGACCTGTCAGTTTTATTTTGTAGCTCTCTCTTAAAATCCTCACCTGAGGATATGTTTGATTTTGGAGAGAGAGGGAGAGAAACTGATCCGCTGCCTCTTGTATGCACCCTACCAGAGCCTAACCTGCAACCTTTGGTGCACAGAATAGGCTCCAACCACGCCACGCGGCCAGGGCTATTTGCAGGCCTTTGCTGAAATCTGCCGGGGCTCTGGCCGCAGGTCAGCGGGGCCCCGGGTGGGAGCTCTGGAGCCTGTGCTCACCCACCTGTGGCTCCTGGCTCACTGTCCACCCCCCACTCCCTCCAGTAACTGCTGGGAAACACCTGCCGTCTAGACCCAGGGAACAGGCTTTACCCATGGAAGGTGAGGGTTAGGACTGGCCCAGCAGGCCGCCAGGTGGTGTGGGTGGGCTGCTGTGAGGATGCGCACTGAGGCCCATGTGCACTGACCACCAGGCTGCCCGAAGGTCTTCCTCAAAAGCACAGGCGGTGCTCAAGGAGTTATCGGCACAGCTGGTCCCAAGATGCACCAATTAGGAAAAGGTCTAGACCAGTGGTTCTCAACCTTGGCTGCACATTAGAATCACCTGGGCATCTTTTTAAAATCCTGATTTCTGGGCCTCATCCTCTGGGAAGTCTGTTTCTTTGTTGTGGGGAGGGGCCACAACCTTAGTAACAAAGAAACAATTTCTGGAGGATGGGGCCCAGAAATCAGGATTTTAAAAAGATGCCCAGGTGATTCTAATGTGCAGCCAAGGTTGAGAACCACTGGTCTAGAGGGAAAAAGTCCTGTGCTGTGCGTCCTGCTAAGCCCGCCAACTGCATCTTCCAGCACCCCACCTGGCATGGTGGGGACCTGGACGTGCCCCTGGTTTGGGGGGTGCTGGTGCAGGCTGGTTTCTGAAGACTGTGCCCAGCACCCTGGGAGGGCTGGTCCCCTCTTTTTTTAATTTGAATTTTAACATCAACATCATGCATGTGTATAGTCCTAGGGCAGGACACATACAGCTTGCTTCACTCCCACCCCCACTCCAAAGAGAGTGAGTGGACTGCCAGCTTTTTCTGCTGCACTTACATGTTTAAAATTGACTTATTGTCTGAAGTTTTACATGTCTCCTTTTTCCCTGCTTGACCCTC